GGGGGGGCATCATAAATTCAACTGTCAATAGTTTGAAGGTTGTGTTTCATTGGGGGGGGCATCATAAATGCTACATGTAGTTCTAAGTAAGTGATCAGAATTTCTGGACCGTTATGATAATATCAAACAGCTACCTTGTAAGTTTCGTTACCTTGGTGATCAGATTTGTCAACAAAAGATAATATTTGTTGAATATGTTTATATTCTTAAATTTTAACTTTCTGTATGACAGGGTTAAACGTGCACACGTTATGACATTTTGCAGAGTCAAAATCAGAATTTAATAGATCAAACAACATTATTATCAATAAATTTGGTATCAAATTTTTATATTCTCGGAGTTTTAACTTCTCCTGTTTCCTTCATTTGTTGAGATATTAATAAATTTGTCAAACCCACCAGAGAAGAGACCCTGTTATCGTTCTACTTCTTTCAAGACAATTATACAATCAGTTGTACATCATTGCAGATAGATATATTTATAACCAACAGGAAGACAACAGTAAATTAACAAACAACGATTTTTAAACAACAGAGTGGTTTTATTTTGAAAAAAGATACTTTGTGTTTTGACAGATTATTCAAGTTTGACCTACAGCTAAGTGTACAGAGTTTATATACAAGATTGTAAAATACAAAGACAAAATATTTTAATGTTAAAAAAATGTTTATCACCTAGTGACAAGATTACAACTAAAGACGTGGTCAACTTTGTGACAAGATTATAACTAAAGACATGGTCAAGTTTGTCCCAAGATTATAACTAAAGACATGGTCAAGTTTGTGACAAGATTATAAAGACAAGGTCTAAGTGAATAAACTCAGCCAAATGTGTCACTAGGGTCATTGTCATGGTTTACTGAAAGGTTGTCAGGTTTGAGGATTTTTATTGTTTCTAAACAATATTTTTTTTTCGTTTTATGTTGGTGTAAGAAACAATTTCATCTCACGGCATTTTGTGACATTATTCAAATTGATGACGTGTGTTGAAGTAGATATCTGAAGCTCACCTTCACACATGTGACCTTTATGTTCTTTGTATTTTATCTCCAAGGAATGTGACATTTGTCCTATATATTTCACATTCACATTAGATACTATATATACCTTTGTTTTGCTTTTTTTGGCGGTGGTTGTTTCAGGTGGTGTTACAGGATTGTCTTGTTCTAGTTATTCTGTTAAGTTGATGAGGTGGTCTGTTACAGGATTGTCTTGTTCTAGTTATTCTGTTAAGTTGATAAGGTGGTCTGTTACAGGATTGTCTTGTTCTAGTTATTCTGGTAAGTTGTTAAGGTGGTCTGTTACAGGATTGTCTTCTAGTTATTCTGTTAAGTTGATAAGGTGGTCTGTTACAGGATTGTCTTGTTCTAGTTTTCCTCTTAAACAGTGTAAAGAAAGATTTTATGTTGAAAGACACTTAGATTTGTTCTTAGTTTAATTTCAAGTTTTTGATTTTACTTACAACATCTGGAGGTGTTTTAAATAGAAAAGGAATTAATATCAAGTAAATGATTTAATCTGTTGACGAAGAATTTAGTAACATTTTGACCAGGTGAGTCTATGCCGAACACTAGCTCTTAAAGGAATGATCTGTTTGTGAGTTTTATGAAGGGCGTAAAAATGGGAGGATTTGATAGTATGTGAGGATAAGAAGAATTTTTATGTTTGTAGTTACAATAAGACAAATTTTAACCGTTGAAATGACTTTGTTGGTAGAATCACCTTTCAGTAAGGTGTAGACCCGTGCTTTATGGTATGTTTTATATACAATTACTGTCTTTGTCATCTATATATATATCATATTGTTAGATGTTTATTCTTTAAAGATGTTGACTTTATTGCTGGTAAGGTCGTGTTTTAGTATTATGTCCTGATATGCTGTAAATCTATAGTATATTAATTATGATTTTTTTCCTGCTTCATTAAGATTCCAATTTAAAGAGTTAATGTTAGATTCTGTAGTAGCAGTTAAAGTTTGATAACAAAGTTTAAACACAAGTTTGATTTATCAGTTAATGGTTCTCTCAAGTTATTTTAAACTGAAGAGGTAAGAGTAAGAGGTTGGATATTTTCATATCTTCTTTCTGGTTTTCTATCAACTTTTTGAGTTTCTTGTTTTCGTTGGTCCTTTTCTTTCCTGCAATATTGGTTGATGTACAGCAGCTGACGTGGTAGAGTATGTTTCAATCTTCGGAGTCTAACTTGTTAGCAAGCTCCAGATATGTTTAGTAAAGTTGGACGTGTAACTTGAAAATGTTTCTGTGAATGTTCTTTACGATGGCTCTTAAAACTGCAAGTTTGGTCTTCGTATCACAGTTTCAACCCATCGAGATAGAAATTAATTGTTTTTGTATTTGTGTAAGAGGTTCTAGAGGTTATAAAAATTAAAACTAAGATGAAAATAAGTGTTTTTATTCTTAAAATGAAAATCACTTTTCACCCAGATTGATTCACTATAGGCCTACTATGTTCACAGACAAACTTTTAGTGAAAATACTGTATTTAAATTTTTTGGTTTATGTGTACAACAGACCTGTAATATTTAGTAAAAGCTTGTCAAATTTTTAAAGATAGTTAGTGCATTCAGAGTTATAGTACGTACAATTTTACGATTACCAGCTATTTCCAAAAATGCACAAAAGTGGCCATTTTCATATTTAGGGTTACCCACTTGTCTTGGTAGTAGTTGTAAAACAAAAACCCAAATGGTAACCCCTGTCTTCTCCCCAGTAGTAAAGATTGTTAAGGACACACTATAAATGCTTTTATTGTTTATAAGTTCATAATTTCTTTAATGTACATTCAAGCACTAGAGTTACGACACGACACTTTATTGATAATGATCATATCATTAATTTTTTCTCTGTATTTTCACAGTGAATGCTAAACTCCATTGAGTGTCAACATTTGGTAGAAAAGAAATCTTTCTTATTCTCATCTTTTACTCTGTTTTGTTAATTCGTAAGCAAACATTTATATATAAGCATCATCTAGAACATTCTATGACTAATTATAGTATTTTGGCACTTGTGTATAAAGTTAAAATCATAAATAACATTCAATAAATATCTGGTGTTTAGGGGTAATGTTAATAATTTTAACAAAACATTCGGATGAAGTCGTAATCAAATATTTTAAGTAATTAATTTTATCATGTAGTATTTTAAAAAGTAATGCTTGTTGGTTCTGATAGGCCCTGAGGAAAGCAGAAGTGTTTGAGAAAAATGTTAAAGAACTTCAAGAAATTATCAGTAATCGGAAACGATCTGAAAGTGACAAGGAAATGGTGAAGAAGATCGTAGAGCTAACTGAGGTATTTCTATTAAACTATCATTTGGTTATTCATAAGTTCTTGATTTTTTTTTATTAATTTGAAATAATAATAAAGATCGGGTTTTAGTTTCTGGTTAAATTTTATAATTAGAAATCAATTGAGATTTCAAATTTCAGAAACTTTCTTTTGTAAAGATGTTTATTTATTGTGATCAGAAAAAAATGTAACTATTTGATTATTCTCACAATGTGTGTATATAAAAAAAAACAACTTATGTTAAAAATAAGCCCGTGGTGGGCAGAGCATAAATCGCCCATTGTGCTAAACAGTAAACAAATTTAATGTCAATATTTTGATTACTGTATAGCAGGAATAGTCAAAAACAAACCGATTGATTTAATTGGCCAAATGATATATTTTTTCAACATGTGAACTGAGTGGAATGTGAAATTACCTGTATATTAAAATTATTTTTTTTAACACAGGAAATTTCTCAGTCAAGCATCGCTTACTGGAAGAAAGAAGAACTGAGAACTAACTTGAAGAACATGAAGAAACAACTTGATGACATGGACCGAGCTAACAAGGCTGCTGTTGTGCAGGAGGTAATGTTTATCTTAATGTATTTTAAATCTAACGAGTGTCAGTATTTAATTAAATATTCTGAATGATTTTCTGTACGACACTTAAACAGAAAGCAGAATGTAATGATAGCCAGAATTTTAAACCTTCGTGTTTAAGTAGAAGACTCGTCAACAGGCCTCAGTATTACACTTGATTTGATTGTTATTTTTACAGACATTCTCTACAACTACATAGTAACGTCATTTGGCTATTGTAATTCCTATAAATTATCCAGGGCAACATTACAGACATTCTCTACAACTACATAGTAACGTCATTTGGCTATTGTAATTCCTATAAATTATCCAGGGCAACATTACAGACATTCAGTTCAAATGATTTGAAATTGTATGATTACATGTTCTAGACTGTCATATCTTAACTTTGTATTTTTCTTTATGTTGTTAAAAGTTAATATATACCTTCTTATTGATGATAATATTTTCTTTATAGGTAATTGAACAAGCCAAACAGTTGTTGGAAGGTAATTCCCATGAGAAGTTTATTGTACATGCATTTGAAGCTGGTTCTAATGCAAAGGTCAGACTTTTTTTTTCTTTTTTTTATTATAGAATCCTAAAATTTAGTAGTTGTTGTTTAGTTTACTTTAAAACCAGTACGGAAGGAACAATTAATGTGAAAATATTTTTGGTTGTTTGTACTAAATACAAAGACAGTTTCCTGTTAGTTACTTGTATTTTAATGACACATAAATCATCTTATCACAAAGCCAAAGTTTATAAGTATTTTTCATCGTAAGAAAACAAACAGTTTTATACTTAAGGAAATACTGTTTTGTTTTCTATTCAGGCACTAGATGGAGCTCTCAAGCAGGTTAAGTCCCTGTGTCCACGAACTGCTGCTATGTTCTTCAGTACTGATAATGGAAAAGTGTTATGTCTAAGTTCTGTTCCCAAGGTTAGTTGTTTTATCTTTTTAACTATAAAGCTAGAATTTAACTTTAAACCAGTGACAAAACTTGTTACTTAACTCTTCCAGCTCGGGTTCATGGGACCAACTTCGTAACCATTTTGTGCTTCTTATAGTTTTCATGCTATAACTTTTAAATTAGTAAGCGTATGTTAATGAAATTTGACAGATTGTCAGTAAACATTACAATGTTTTCATCTGAAAAATATCAATTTTTTTTTATTAAGTCTTAAGGTTTGTAAAGTAATGTTTTTCTCTTGTCTTTTTTTTTTTTCTTTTCATATGTTGCCTATATATCATGCAAAGTAATTTTCATTTTAAGATTAAAATATTTTTATGCAACAGAAAATTTTCAAATTTCACATGCTAAATCTTTATAATGTCCAGATAGTTATCAAACGTTTCTTAAGAAAAAAAACGATATTTTAACTGTTATTTTAAGTAACGAATCTCTGTATGGATTTGGTCAATTTAACCGAACTCATAACCACATTAAAAAATTAGGAAATAAATATAAATTAGGCCTTTTTTCCTTCTGGAATGACTTTAAATTATAACATGAAAACATAAATGCGTAGACTAAATGTCTTAAATCTCATAACATTATACATTTATATATATTTATTATTTTTTATTATATTGACCTTTCAGTCATGCCTGGCTAACAATACAGAAGTTACAATGACTTGGCCCATGTGCACTCATGTTACGGTATCCAATAATATAAAACTGACCTTTACAAAGTGACCTCTCTTGGCTGTGTTTTGGTAGACTAGTATTTTGTAAAATACAGTCACATTTCAATTATTATACATTATATATGTATATAGATTATTGCTATGTAGAAGCCCCCAAGTGGCACAGCGGTATGTATGCGGACTTGCAACTCTAGAATCTGGGTTTCGATACCCGTGGTGGGGAGAGCACAGATAGCCCATTGTGTAGCTTTGTGCTTAATTACAAACAAATCGTGCTATTTAGGAATAAATTATAAAACTTATTTTTCTTAAAACATAGAACAGTAAATAAGAAAGTAAAGCAAACAATTATCTCTAATAGTTACGACCTTTGTACTCAGTTGCTGCATTACGTAGGTTGCTAAGCCTTTAAAAAATGTTCACATGGAGGATATGAAACAAAATGTTTTTTTTAGGTTTTATATATACAGTTGAATAACTAAAAAATCATAAATTACTACATCTATACCATAGAATTCAACTATAATTTATCAAGCCTAGTAACTAAGCTGTATTTCAATCTAAATAAATATGAAATTTTGAACAGACTAAAGATGCTACCTACTTCCTTGATATCTTGGTTCAAAAGAAAGAGATGGCATCCAAACACATTAAAATGGCTTACAAAGCCACTAGGGGACATTCTGAAATTTCGATTGGTTATTCGTGTCATATATAGAAGTAAGTTTATATAAGGGATCATTTCCAAAAATGAAAAGAGGTGGGCAGGTGCCATTGTGTTTGATTTATTACGTAAGCAATATCTTAGCAAATAGAAAAGATAAGATCTTATTTTATATTCTAGTTTGTCAGTATCAGTAATTTGAGTTCCTAATTCATACGAAACTATACTTAGTATTTTGACATCATAAACAACTAATTTGAACCAGTGCTGCATTCAACATACCACGTGACACATAAAAATCGATGTTTATCTCTGTTTTTTTAATATTTACTTTTAAGTTAAAAATTGAGTAATGTATAGTTCTAAAATTTGAATTATGATCTACAGTTTGATACCAAACTTATTGACATAAATTCATGAAATAGTAGTTCAATAAAAGTTTGAATGCGAATCAACAAACTTGAAGACATGGTCTTTCACCCATGACCTGTCTGGAAAGGTTTATGATAGAAATTGTCATGCAAGGTATACCTCAATATTTTAACACACACACAAAATTACAATGGATTCCAAAGTTCTATTCGAAGTTTTTTTTTTTGACTATGTGCAACTGATTTAGGGTTAAATTATAAGTAAAAAAGACAACTGATTTAAGGTTAAATTATAAGTAAAAAAGACAACTGATTTAAGGTTAAATTATAAGTAAAAAAGACAACTGATTTAAGGTTAAATTATAAGTAAAAAAGACAACTGATTTAAGGTTAAATTATAAGTAAAAAAGACAACTGATTTAAGGTTAAATTATAAGTAAAAAAGACAACTGATTTAGGGTTAAATTATAAGTAAAAAAACAACTGATTTAGGGTTAAATTATAAGTAAAAAAAGATAACTCATTTAGGGTTAAATTATAAGTAAAAAAAGGTAACTCATTTAGGGTTAAATTATAAGTAAAAAAGACAAATGATTTAGGGTTAAATTATTAGTTAAAAAGACTACCAAGAGCAGTGACAAAAAATTCGAATTTTTAATTATACTTGTAAATGTTCTTTTGCTAGATGTCATTAACCATTATGGTACACTTAGCATTCTTATCATTAGCACTTAGCATTCTTTGGTCAAAATATTCTTGTATAAACAATTACTATACTCCAAGTTCGCCAAAATATTTGTGCAAAAATGGATATTTAGAATCTGTTTCTTGTTTTTTTTTATTTGGACAATATGGGAAAAATAAATAACATATGGGGGAAAAAATTACAAGAAACATTCATTACATTATGTCACGCAAGATAAAAATTAGAAGTTTTTAACTATATGATAATCTTATGACTTTAAAAGAAAAATTACAAGTATTTCTAATATCACGAGTCATTTAGTTTCACAAACTTGTTTCTTGTATTATAAAACGTATCCGTAACACTACTTTTTTATTCAGAATTTCCAGCTTGTGAATTAATATGTACGTTAGCCCTTACAAGGACCTAAAATAAATGAGAATATCACGGATAATGTTAAATTGTTTATTAATTCTTTGTAAGGACCAACGATAAATAGCACGTATTAATTCACAAGTTGAAATCAATGTGCTTACTTCTGCAGAAACACTGTTGCATTGGTCAATTATTCTCCACAGGAAGCAGTGTCTAAAGGATTAAAAGCCAATGAATGGGTGCGAGAAATATCGAGGGTGATTGATGGGAAAGGAGGGGGAAAAGAAGAGGCAGCTCAGGCCACAGGAACCAGAGTTTCGTCTCTAAACGAGGCCATGACACTTGCTAAGGAGTTCGCAGAACTGAAGCTGACTCAGTGATAGTGTGGAGAAAATAACACTGGACCAAGACAGCTCGGTTACAAGAAACTTTCCTAAGTTGTAGAAATATCTCTTCAAAGCAACCAGTAATTTAAGTTTGTATCTTCAGGAAAGTGAAATTAAGTTATGAAATAAACGTTTTATATCAAATCCATGCTCTCGTTATTTATTTTATAATTATCTGAAAACACTGAATTTTATAGTATTTTTTCATGAATGTGGAACTTAAAGTAAGCTCTTTGTCTTCTGAACTATTTAATCTAAGGTAATGGAAACATTTCGCAGACAGAGGGAGTACTAGTTTTATCAATCGATGTGAGCCTAATGCCAGTGACGTGGCCAGGTTTTCCCGCTTGGAAATATTAGGGGGACCAATAAATTAACAGGCTGAAATTGATCTAAATTTGTAATAAAATGTTCGTTAAAACAATTCAAATGTAATAGTGTTTATAGAAGTTTTATTTATTTTATTAAAAGATAGAAAACGAGTTTATTACATATAAAAGCTGAAAAATACTACGTGATCAATAGGCCTAGATTTTTTCAGCCTCACCCGAATACGCCTCTGCCTGATGCTAAAACAGGTTCTGGGGACGTTGTTTGTAAACGAACAATTCTCAATTGTTTAAACTATTACCACGAGGAACAAACAATTAAAGTATCGTGTTATTTTGTTCAAACCAACTGCCAGTAAAATATCCATTTTCTACTTTGTAAGAAATGGCTGAATGGATATTCAGATTAAACAAATTTTCACATAAATTCTTGGATTTCAGTGGTGACGTAATCAATCATACCTTTGAATGAATAAAAAAAAGTTCATTTTTCTTTTGTACGTTAAAAACTTGTATATAGCTTATTAAATTAGAAGTATGTAGTTAAACTTACCAATTGACAGGATACTGAGGTGCTGGAGAAAGACGTATTTCAAGAGCGCACTCACGCGGAGCTTGACTCAACTACTACCTGTACTTATTGTGAAGTTATTATTTCCATTAAACTAGTATTTGCTCTGTTTATTCCACAATAAACTATGAAAATGGAACTTGTACTTAGATAATCCTCAAACTACAAGACAAATTTGCCTATACAGAAATCCATACATAATTAATTGTCTTGAACAATAATCTACCTAGAAATAAAAATATTGTACACGTTTATTACCATGACATATAGAGAACAATTTCAACACAGGTTTTCAAGAAGAGGAATATTCTCTTCGATTACAATCTTTCTGATTGACCTATGAAATAAAGATAATTTTACAGGCCATGGAATTTTGAAAATGTATATGCCCAATTTAACAGAACTTGTGAAATTAATTTATTTTAAAGTGATTGGTAAAAAAAACCATCAAAATATTTTAATCCAGAAAATGTTAACTTATGACCAAAGAAACTTTATTCTTTGATAGAGGATCTAATTATCGACCACGTTCTTGTAACAGTGTACTTATTTGATTAATAAACAGATAAATTTTAGTTTAGAAATCTATATTTAACTTACTAAACTTGAAGTGAATAATCCTTGGGTCCCAATAACTGATCTAAGTCATGTTTGACTTCTAGAAGTGCAGGTTGGAGCCTCTCTTGAGCATTGAATAGGTATGGCAATTAAATGTAAAGATAGTTTTTTAACAGCAAAAAAAAAACAAAAAAAACAACAACAGTAATTTAGAAAACAAATGCTCAATGATTTTTCTTTAGTTATTTAACTAAAACATCATCATATGGATCGAGCTTCTTCCAAAAGAACGTCAGTAAACAATGACAGGCAACAGTGTCTTACCCGTTTTGTAGAAATTATATTTTTGTTGTACTTCTAGAGGCATCATGCAACGAGCCTCTGTCTCTTACTCTCTGAAATATTGAAGGACCAAAAAGAGAATTTTTCGTCCATTCTACCCCCCCCCAAAAAAAAGAAAGAAAAAAAAAGTTTAGGGTATCGTGCCCATCTTGTGTTTGAAATCATATTCTCGTATACTGAATAAATCTAACAGAAGATTAAAAGTACTTAATATAAAAAGAGATTCCTCTGAAAGTTGATCTGGTGCTCTCCTGTATTTGATAAATCAAAGTGTTTTTTGACCAAGATCTGATGACATGGGAAAACACTTAGAAATTAAGCCATGTTATACATCCAACTTATGTTGTTAATTATTATTTTAAATTGTGATAATAGATGGCGACACCATTTCCTTTTTTAACTTCAATGAACAAATGTTTTATTAAATCCATATAAAGTTTTCTAATTTTAAAATGGAAGTTTCGAGGTAAACTATGAATTTTGCTAAGGCATGCTAATATTTCGCATGTATCATATATAAAAATACAACATTCAGTATACACAAATTGTGTCAACGTAAATAAAAACAGTAGCCAATTTCACCCATCAAAATTTATTAATAATAACCATCATTACTATCACCAGTAACCTTTTAGAAAAGATTCACCGATTAAATGCAAAACAACTTATTATAAAGGAAACTGCAATACGTTGTATTTAACACAATCTATAAATTCCATCTGATAATCCGACAGCGACATTTTGTTGAATTTGGAACTCTTATCTTCGATCACAGAACTCGTCAACCCACGCCCATGTTTTACATCAAAATTTTAGACAGTATTACTACTATTTTTAAAAGTGAAATTTAACAAGTAACCTAATAAAACTGATAAGAACTACAGCTCGTTAACTTACTCTTCTGCACACCGAAATAGTTGTACAAGCGATTAATGATATAAATAACATGTCGACCATTATCATGTCTAGTTTGTTTGTTTTTGAATTTCGATCAAAGCTACACGAGAGCTCTCTGCACTAGCCGTCCCTAATTTAGCAGTGTGAGACTAGAGGGAAGGCAGC